CTCGAGTGGCTTGCCTGTTCTAGTGGCCACGCTCGTCTGCGTTCAGGTCGAACCCTTGGCATCGTCGAGTGTCCCTACAGGTTGCCCCTCCCCTGTGGCTCCGATCCTGTGTGGTCTACGTATGGGCCTCTCCCAGGTCACGAATCCTTGGTGTTTTACGTTTAGGCTTCTCTGGGGGCACGAATCGTCACAAGGAGGCGCCAGGAAGCTCCAGGAGGCACCAGGAGGCCACAGGAAGTCACAGGAGACACAAGGAGGCCCCAGGAATCCACAAGAGGCCCCAGGATGCCCAAGGAGGCCCCAAGAGGTTCCAGGAGGCCCCAGGACGCCACAGGAGACCCCAGGGGGGCCTTAGAGGCCCCAGGAGGCCCCAAGATGCTCCAGGAACCCCCAGGAAGCCCCAGGAGGTCACTGGAATTGCTCCAGTCCGTGGTGTTTTAGTATAGTTTCTATAGATCGAGTGTCTCCTGGGGCACGACTCCTTGGTGTTTTACGTTTGTTCCCATATATTGCCTTTCTCCTGTGGCTCCAATCCTGCGTGTTTTATTTCTTTTCTTATAGATGGGGCCTCTCCTGAGGCACGAATCCATTGTGTTCGATGTATGTTCCTATGGGTTGCCCCTCCCCTGTGGATCCAGTCCTGGGTGTTTTATTTACCTGTGTTCCTATGGGTAGGGTTCCTTCTGCGGCACACGCATTGGTGTTTTTTTATGTGTTTGTCCTCATCTCCTGTGGCGCCAATCCTGTGTGTTTTACGTATGTTCCCATATATTGGTGCTCTCCTGGGACACGAGTCCTTTGTGTTTTATGCATGCTCCTATTTTTCGCCCTCTCCTGTGGATCCAGTCCTGGGGGTCTTGTGTATGTTCGTATAGATTTGGCCTCTCTTCACCGTAGGGTGGCTGTCTGCACCACGGCCTTGCCTCTGCGCGAGATCTTTTGGGCTAGTTGCCGCAGCGGAAGGGTTTTGCACGGCGTTTGCATGAGCACCCTCATGTCTTGCTTCATCATGGAGGGAGGGAGGGATCGCGTGGCCAGTTCGAATCGCTCACGCTCAGTCATGCTCGGGCCGCTGACGTGCAGATGCACCCACCCTAGGCTTAGATATATTCGGACTCGAGCGCATAGACTCACTCGTACTACTGAGACTCATTCGCAATCCATTTCATTTGCAGTTAGAGTCGCTCCCAGCCTGTCAATATTCAAGCCCGCTTGTGTTCGAAAACTACTCCGGCGGTATGACCCCACATGATAATCTTTTTGGTTAGTCTGGAAATCGCCCTCACCGTTGCCCTCGTGCTTGTTGAGGCATCCTTGCTGTCTCCTCTGCGTCATTCTCCTCCTCGCCCTGGCGCAGGTTCTCCTCCCGCTCCCTACGTTGTCTCCTCCTCGCCCTCCTGTTTTTTTCACGCCAAGCCACTTCCTCCCCTTCTTATTGCATGAGCGCGCATGTCGATTGTCCTCGGCGCCGTCGCTGCTTCTGCCAGCACGGGCGCAATCGTTAATTGCCACGTTGCGCCGCAGCCGTTGGGACAACCCCACGGGCCAGGCCGTCGGGGCTACCCTGCGAGCCGCTTGCGCGCGAGACCAAGCCGTTGGGACAACCCCGCGGGCTTCGAGCGGGGCGCCGCCGCGCTCAGGCGGGGGGCAGCACGAAACCCAGCCTGCTACGAGCTGCTCCGCCACTGCCCTGGAGCTCTCCGTTCTGATGTCGAACTCCATGAGCGCCTTCCGCAAGGATGCCGGCGGCCCTCGCTCCAGGGACTTTCGCGGCGGCGGCCGCAGAATCAGCATGTTCCGCATGCGCGTGGCGCGGTAAAACATGACGTGGAGGTGCAGCCACCACTGGTCGTCCGACATGCCCGTGCGACCAGCTTCCTCGTCCCTCGCGCAATCGATGGTGACGCCCTTGCGCAGCGTCGGGTCCTGCGACAGCGTGGAGGTGATGTAGGACGCGTGCGTGTCCCATAGGGGGCTCCCGCTTGAGAAGTCATCGCAATTTACAGACGAGGCTACCGCCTGATACTTCCGCCATATTCAGGCCTCAGGGGCCCAACAGTGGCGACAGTTGAAGGTTTCCCGATGACCCGTTCAGAGAAAAAAGACGTCAGCTGCGGGCCCCATAGGGAGGGGGCTCCCGCTTGAGACTTCCTCTCTATTCACTCACACACGAGGCTCCAGCCTGAGACTTCCTCCTATGATGGTGACGGCGGTGATGGGTGATGGTGCCGATGGTGATGCTGACGATGGTGGCGGGCGATGGGTGATTATGGTGACGACGGGGATGGGTCACCGTGATGGTGTTCACCCACTGACGAGGCTCTTGCCTGAGACCTCTTCAAGCTGAGTGTGTGGGTGTGTGTGCGTGAGTGTGTGCGATTATGACGATGGTGACGGTTGTGTTGTGATAGTGGTGATGCTGAGTGATTTATTTAATCGCTTCGCTCATTCCGCCGGCCCATAATGCGTAATCGCTGGGGTTTGGCTGCGCGTCCGTGAGCCATGCTGCGCTGATGGGGGGGGACGTTGTTTTCGGTGGTGGGTGCACCAGTCCGGTGTAGTTGGTTCGACGTTTGCGGCTGTCAGTGGTTTGTGGCGCCATCGTCTGCTCTCATGGGGCTCGCGGATGGTGGTTTGGCGCGGTCCGCCAATAGAGCCCCGCTTTCTGGAGGTTCCAGGGTTCGGTCGGGCTTTGCCTGCGGTTTCCTCGGCGTGTTTAAGGGGTGCTCTGTTTGTGGTGCGAGGGTGTTGGAGGCCGTTTGGGGTTTCCTGGGAAGCCTCTCGAGGGCCTCTTGGCAGTATTTCTAGAGCCTCCTGGGGCCTCCTGGGGGAGTCTTGGGGACTGTTGGGGGCCTCTTGGGGCCTCTCGGGGGCCTCTTGGGGGCGTTATGAGGTCTCCTGGGGACGTCTTGCGGCTTAGAGCGCGAAATGTCCGTTCCGGTCCCCCGTCGGGGCCCGGTCTTGGAGCTGTCTTGGGGGCATCTTGGGCCATCTTGGAGGTTTCTGGGGGTCTCTTAGGGCCCTCTGGGGTCGTTTCGGAACGGTCTTGAACCCTCGTAGGCCGTATTGGGGCGACATTGAAGGCTTTTTGGGCCGTCTTAAAGCGCTAGTAAGCCGAAGAGGCGAGAACGCCAAAATCTGCAAAAAAGCAATTAAAAATCATCAATTTTGGCTTGTTGGGGGCCTCTTGGGAGGTCTCTTGGACGCATCATGGGGCGTCTTGGGAGCATCTTGGGCCGTCTTGAGGCCTCTTGGGGGCGTTATGAGGTCTCCTGGGGACGTCTTGCGGCTTAGAGCGCGAAATGTCCGTTCCGGTCCCCCGTCGGGGCCCGGTCTTGGAGCCGTCTTGGGGGCATCTTGGGCCATCTTGGAGGTTTCTGGGGGTCTCTTAGGGCCCTCTGGGGTCGTTTCGGAACGGTCTTGAACCCTCGTAGGCCGTATTGGGGCGACATTGAGGGCTTTTTGGGCCGTCTTGGAGCGCTAGGAAGCCGAAGAGGCGAGAACGCCAAAATCCTAAAAAAAAATGAAAATCATCAATTTTGGCTTGTTGGGGGCCTCTTGGGAGGTCTCTTGGACGCATCTTGGGGCGTCTTGGGAGCATCTTGGGCCGTCTTGAGGCCTCTTGGGGGCGTTATGAGGTCTCCTGGGGACGTCTTGCGGCTTAGAGCGCGAAATGTCCGTTCCGGTCCCCCGTCGGGGCCCGGTCTTGCAGCCGTCTTGGGGGCATCTTGGGCCATCTTGGAGGTTTCTGGGGGTCTCTTAGGCCCTCTGGGGTCGTTTCGGAACGGTCTTGAACCCTCGTAGGCCGTATGGGGGCGATATTGAGGGTTTTTGGGCTGTCTTGGAGCGCTAGGAAGCCGAAGAGGCGAGAACGCCAAAATCCTCAAAAAAACAATGAAATCATAATTTTGGCTTGTTGGGGGCCTCTTGGGAGGTCTCTTGGACGCATCTTGGGGCGTCTTGGGAGCATCTGGGCCGTCTTGAGGCCATCTGGGCCGTCTTGGGGCGCTCTTGGCTTCAGGCTGCTGGGCCTGCCACATATTTGGCGTCTCCTTGGAGCGCTCCTGGAGCTCTCCAGAGGCCTTCAGGGCCGCGCCCAGGAAGTCCGGCATCTCTGGCCCCCACCCTGCCGGGGACCTGCCGGAGTACTTTTCGCCCGGGGACTCCTAGGGGCCGCCCCGCGCGCGAATTAGAAATACTGTTTACCTGTTACCGGAGATCTTAGCACGCCCTGGCCCGTTGGGCCGGCGAATTAATCGTAGTTGTGAGTGGATGAGTGAGCCACTCAGGATAAGTGAGTGAATGTGAGTGAGTGAGTGACTGAGAGTGGCCGGCAGAGTGTGGGTTAGTGTGTAAGTGATGTTGATGCTGTGATGATGATGATGATGATGATGATGATGATGATGATGATGATGATGATGATGATGATGATGATGATGATGATGATGATGATGATGATGATGAGGATGAGGATGAGGATGATGATGTGAGTGTGTGAATGTGTGAGTAGAAGAGAGGGTCAGAAGAGACGGGGGGTGTTCCTTCCATCCTGTTCCTGCGCGGGGTGTCCAGAGAAGACAAACACCCCACTTCGGATGTGGGGAATTATCGCGCCTAGACGCTCACGGCAGAATGGTCCATGCAAATCGATCCACATATGGGGAGCTCAACGCAGTGAGTAATGCTTGCCTCTTGAGGCCCTCTTGGGGGTTCTCTTGGGGCCCTCTTGGGGCATCTTGGGGGCGTTTTTCGCCGTCTTCAGGCCATCTGGGATGTTATTGAGGATTCTCCTTCGTGTTGGAGCTCTTCTGGAGCCATCTTAGAGGGCACGTTGGGCATCTTGGCGGCCATGGAGGGTTGATCGGATTTAGAGGCTCCGACGGCTCCCGAGGTGCGTTGACGAGCTTGTACCCCCACCCCCAAGGAGTGGGGTGGGGCGCATGTCCTTGCAGTGGGGGTTAGGACCCTTTGGGGAGGGTGCGACCGGGAGAAGGATAGCCAAATGTTTCACGCGCCTGCTCGCCCCTGTCAAGCGGGGGTCGGCGGACTGGCAGATCGACCAAGCCGTCGCCGTGCTCCTTTCGGATATCGACGTGCGCATTGAGCGCGACCAGGACAACGTCTACATCTACGAGGGCCTCTGCTCTGGCACAGACTGCGACGCCCTCCCCCTGCTCGCAAAATTCACCGGTGGGAAGGGGACAAGTTCCCTCACGCTGCACAGTCTCGGCCAGCGCCCCCCTGTGCTAGTGCCGAGCGGCCAGGCTACGGTGGTTTTCAAGCCTGACGGAACTGCTGATAGGCCCCTGGCAGTCGTCGTGGACGATGGCTTTTCCATGACGTGGGCGCTTGCGCCAAACGGTTCGTGCGAGGAGCAATGCCGGAACGGGGGTGCATGCTCGGGGGGCGTTTGCCAATGCGTCGATGGCTGGGCAGGGGCTGACTGCTCACACAGCTCGTGCATGGGCACCAGTCGGTTGTCAGCGTTGGAAACGGAGCAGACCATTGTGCACGGGGCTGCAGGGTACCAGACAGGGCATAACGCGAATTGCACGTGGATCATCACGGCGGACAGTGGCAAAGTTGTCTTCTTCGAGTTCGTGAAACTAGACTTGGACTGGCTCTTTGACCCGCTCGAGTTCTATGATGGCGACACGCGGACGGGCACAAAGATAGGAAGCTTCAGCGGCTACGCTCCCTCAAAGCTCAACGCCAGCGTTGGCGAGAGGTGCCCTGGGGCCATGTGCCCGCTCGCCCTCCACTCCTCCTCCAGCACCGCGGCGGTTCGCTGGACCTCGGACGCCATGCAGAGTGGCGAGGGCTTTGAGCTCAAGTACCGCGCCGTGGCCTTGACCGAGGCGCTCTGCGGCACAGGGCCCACCGCGGACTGCACCGGCCGCGGGACCTGCGGAATCAACGGCTGCCAGTGCAACGAGGGATGGTTCGGCCAGTTCTGCCAAGTACAGCAGTGCGTGGGCCCTGCCACAGACTTGACAGCGGCGACTGGGATGATTATCAATATGGCGGCGACCGAGCTGACCTACGCCCCGGCACGCAGCTGCTCCTGGCTCGTGACCCCCCCGGCCTCGTACGCGAACGAGACTGTGGGCGCAGTAGCATTCAGAATCAAAAGGTTTGACATGGAGGCGGCGGAAAGCTCTGGGGACTCCTTGACCTTCGGGGAGGGGAACGGGAGCTTCACGCTGAGCGGGATGAACCCGCCCTGCAGCGAAGACATAAGCGGCTGCGAGAGCGACGCGGACTGCCGCGGGGGCATCTGCGACAGTTCAGGCACCTGCACCTGTTCCCACATCCTCATAGCTGGCGCTGAGGTCCTGGTCCAGTTCATGACCGACAGCAGCGACTACCCGCCAGGGAGCTTGCACGCGGGCTTTGAGGTGGAATTCGCGGCCGTCTATCAGTGCACCAGAGGTGCCTCAGGTGCCTGCCTGACGCCAGCACCGTGTACGCCTGGCTCGGTCCCGAAGACGGTCGGCGGCGTGGAAATGTGCGACCCATGCCCCGCTGGCCAGTACCAGATGTTCGACATGGCGACCGAACTTCCGAAGTGCAGTTATTGCCCCCTGGGGAAGTACACGGACAAGCAGATGCAGACCGAGTGTATGCTGTGCGACCCTGGCAATTACTGCCCCTTCGCGGCCCATGAGATGCTGCCGTGCCCCGCGGGCACATACGCAGGAGTAGCTGGAACAGCTGCATGCGAGCCTTGCCCCGTTGGCACATATACAAATACCACTGGAAGCACCAGTTGCACCAGCTGCAGCACGGGCAAGGCGAACCCAGACCTCTACGCCACACAAAGCCAGGTGCTGGTCTCGGGGACTAGCGAGTGGGTGCCGACGACGGGGGCCGAATCTGCCGCCGCTTGTGGCTGCAAGGTTGGCGCCTATGAGAAGGATTCAAGAGGGAACAAAAACACACAGACACAATTAATCGTCGAGTCCCAGGAAAATATGGGAAAATATGGGAAGTGGGGGGGAAGACAAAAACCAAGAAAATATGGGAAAATATGGGGAATATTTTTATTTGTGTGTATTTATTTGTGTGTCCTGGGGCCCCTTCAAGGATGGGGAGTGCGAGCTGTGCGGCGAGGGCATGGAGTGCCCTGGCATGGGCGAAGTGATCATCGCGCCGGGCTACTTTGCGAGCGCCGACCGGCCCGGCTTCGTGTGGAGGTGCTACGGCACCGACCACCGCAGGTGCCCCGGAGGCCCGCCTGGCACGTGCGCCCCGAGTCGCCTGACCAGCAGCGTGGCGTGCACCACGTGCGAGGACGGGATGGTGGCGAGCGACGAGGGGGATTGCAAGGATTGCGGGGGCAACGTTAGGGGGCGATAGGCTCAGAGGGGGGACGTATCGATCCCCAGTCGCCCATTCATTGCCGACAGGGACCCCAGAAACCACCCAGCCCAGGAGCGTGCGCATTTGCAATCGGGGGTCTATCGCCGATCCATCGGTGCTTTATCGCCAGTTCCAAGACGATGTTTTCCCCTCGAGCCCGCCCCACCCCCCCAGGATTGCTCACCCGTTCATGTGCTGCCGATTTTGATGATCCTGACGGTTGCGGGCGCCGCGATGCTCTTGCTCTACCGTATCTTGGGATCTTCCGACCCTGCCTCACGCAGCAGGTCCGTCCTCTTGGTGGCAACTGTGGCGGGCCAGCTGTTTACCTTTGTCCAGCAGCTGGGCATCATGGGGACAATCTCCTTGGAGTGGGAGAGCCCTTTCGCCGAGTTCCTCGTGACCATCTCCCTCTTCAACTTCAACCTGGACTACCTCTTCCTGGAGTGCGCCACGGCACTGGAGCCAGTCTCGAAGTTCACGGGGAGGGTGTTCCTGGTCATTGCCTTCGTCCTCTCGATGATCGTTATCCACTCCATCGCCGTCGTCGTCCACCATGCGGGCGCGTTCCGAGAGCGCAACCCGGCCCTCATCTGCTCGGTCGGCACGGTGTTCAGCACCTTCTTCATGTCGATCATGGCCTCGATGCTCGCGCCCTTCCAGTGCGCCGCGCACCCGAACGGGCTGCAGACTGTGCGCGACTACCCCTCGGTCGTCTGCTACGAGTCGGCGTATGTCGAAGAAGAAACCACGGCATAAAGCTAAACTTTCGGAGGTCCGCGCGGATTGCGAAGGCCTTACGGCCGGTGCCGCCGACCTTGAAGGGGGACGACGACGACGAGGACGACGGTGGCGGCGGCGGCGGCGACGATGACGATGATGACGTGGGCCAGAGTCCTCAGGGATGCTTCTTGGGGTCTCTTCGGAAGGCTCTCGGGGGCCTCTGGGGAGGAATTTAGGGGCCTCTTGGGAGCCTTTCGGGGGCCTCTTCGGGCTTCCTGGGGGCCTCTTGTGGGCCCTTCGGGACCTATTGGGAACCTCTTGGGGCCTCCTGTGAGCCTCTCGGGGCCGAGGGCTCGAAATGTCTGTTCGGGTCCCCCGTCTGAGCACGCTGTAGGAGCCGTCTTGGGGGCCTTTTGGGCATCTTGGAGGCGTTTGGGGCTGTCTTGGGGTCCTCTTGGGCTGTTTTGGAGCCCTCTTGGGGGCCTCTTGGGCCGTCTCGAGGTGACCTTTTGCCCTCTTGGGCCATCTTGGAGCGGCGGAAAGCGGAAAAGGCGAGGACGTCCAAATCTTTCAAGAATTGATGGCAAATTATGCGTTTTGCCTCCTGGGGCCCTCTCGGGAGAGCTCTTGGAGGCCTCTTGGGGCGTCGCGGAGGCCTCTTTGGCAGTCTGGAGGGCATGAAGGCGTTTTTGGACCGATCGTTTGGCGATTGGGGGGCCCCTTCGGATCGTCGCGGTGACCTCCCGGGGCACTCTTGGCCTGTCTTGCTCTTTTTGACGCCCCGGGACCCCCAGGGGGGATGCGTATCTGCCCCCCCCTCCCCCCCCCACCCCAGGACCAGCCCCCCCCCCTTCCCGACGAGGGAGGGATCAAAGGAAAGGGCCTTCCCTTGCTCTTTCTGAGGCCTCGGGACCCCCAGGGATCTGACCCCCTCCCCCCAGGTTCCCCCCCACCTCCCGACGGGGGAGGGATCAAAGGGAAGGGGCTTCCCGTCGACTCGATTGCGACATTGCCAGATCTTTCACTCGCTGACATGCTCAAAGAGGAGGGTGCAGGGAAAGGGGGCGACGGTGACGACGACTGACCGAGACACGCCGACAGGGTCGGCGGATTTCTTCGATCTGCGCTGGAACCCCCTGGCGGCGCCTTTCGCGCTGACCCTGGTGCGCTCTGACCCTGGTGCGCTCCACGCACCAGGGTCAGCGCGAAAGGCGCCCTTCCAAGGAATCCGCGCGGACCTCCGACTGTTTATGCTTATGCAGCTGTTTTTGTTCTTCTAGCATGGCGATGATCATGCGATCATGCTGGGCGTAAGCGCCGCTGGTGCCTTGATCCCACTTGCTTTTTTTGCGTCGGCCGTCTACGTGGTGTTCCAGATGGAGACGCGCTTGGCAGCTGGGGACGAGCGGTTCCTGAGGTCTTTCCTCTTCCTGTTCTTCCGCTTTCGACCTGGTGCTCACACGTACATCGCGGTGTTTTTGTTTCGAAATCTCTTTATTTCCGTGGTCCCAGCTCTCGGCAACACCATGTTTCAGATCATCACGATGCAGGCCATCTTGATTCCGCTTCTGGTCGTGACGGTCTACTTCATGCCCTGGAGCGCCTTCTTGGCGAATCTGATCGACGGCTCCAGCACCATGCTGCTGTGCCTGATCGTGACGCTGTTTGCCTTCTACTGCGAGGACGCGGACGCGGAAGTCGTCGCGCAGCTCTGCACCGCCATCTGCATCATCGCCTTTCTCACCATCTTTTGCGCTATTGCTTGGGGCATGCTCACGCGCGTCCTGAGGATTGAGAGCCCTATGCAGTTCTTCCTCTGCCACCATCTAGCTGGCGCCGGCAACTTCACCAGGCTCCTGAAGATGTCGTTGGACAAGAAGTCCAAGAAGGAGATTGGTGTAGATTCAGACTACACTGACCCGAGCGCCCTGTTTGCCACCGTGGCATCTGACGTTGACATGCTCGTCGTGGTGTGCTCCAAGCAGATCGCTTTCAAGATTTTCTGCGTAGGCGAGATGTCCACCGCAACGCTGAACAAGGTGCCAGTCTGCAACGTGCTCCTCCCAGATTTCGCGTATCCCTCCGAGGACTTCGTCACCAAGTACGAGATTGAGATGCCACACATCACTCACCTGGCCCGGTACGGTCTGAACTTGGAGACGGTCAAGGCATCGCTGCCCAATTCTGGGCAGGAGTCTGTCCGGATCCCTTCGCTGATCAGCAGCAGCACCATGCAGTCCCTGGTCGGGGTGCTCATGCGAGAGCAGGGAGCTGTGCCGCTTCCAGACGACACGGGCACGATCGACCCCTTGGGGTCCTCCAGCCTCTTCATCGTCGCGGACATGGGGGCACTGGAGTGCACCTGCGCGGCCCTGGTCCTGCAGCTACTCCTGGCGCGCTCCGTGCAGGGCAGGGCGGAGGATGATGATGGGCCTGTTTTCCACCACCACCACCACTATACGTTGGAGGGTGGAAGGAGGTGGATGATGATGCTGCTGCTGATGATGCTGATGCTGATGCTGATGCTGTTGCTGCTGATGATGATGATGATGATGATGATGATGATGATGATGATGAGGATGAGGATGAGGATGATGATGATGAGGAGGATGATGAGGATGAAGATGCGGATGAGGATGATGATGATGATGATGATGATGATGATGGTGGTGGTGATGATGATGATGGTGATGGTGAATGGTGATGGTCATGGTGATGGTGATGGTGATGATGATGATGCTGATGATTAGATGATGATGATATGATGATGATGATGATGATGATGATGATGAGGAGGAGGAGGAGGAGGAGGAGGAGGAAGGAGGAGGAGGAGGAGGACCCCCTCCCCCTCCAACTTATGGTGGTGGTGGTGGTGGTGGTGGAAAACAGGGCCATAAGAGGAGGTGCCCCAGCTGCTGCCGCTGGGGGCGGACCTGCCCTTGTCCGCGGAGAAGGTGTGCCTCGTGCTCAGCAACGGCGCCTTCGCCTCCCCGCACGTGGCCGCCGCCCTGAGGCTCATGGGAGGAACAGATGTGCGTGTGTGAAGTCCGTTTATGTCACCATTCTATCATTACATACCGCTAACGTATTGGCTCAAGGTATTGGTACAAGGCTCTGGAAACGGACTCGCGACCCTCTTCCTTTCTTGCCTCTGCCTACGGGTTATTGCGTAGATTCGACTCTTTGGTCGTTAGCCTACCTTCACAGAAAAGGTACCCCATACCTCTGCCCCCCCGCCCGCGTTCCCCTTTTTGGGTCTCCGGGGAGGCCCTCGTTGCCATCGCTGGCTTTGCCTCGAGCTCTGGGTCCGACCGCGCCCCGGGAGAGGCCTCGAGGTCCGCGCCTCGAGACGCCTCTCTCTCTCTACAGGAAGCATATCCAAAGATAGTCAACCACTAGTCTGGGGACGATTCTTCGATGGTTTTTTGGCTTACCTTTGAATATTTTCTGGGCTATCTTCGCTTTTTCGCCCAAGATCCGCCTGTGGGGGCACATGTCCGATCTCAGGGTAGCTCTCGGCACCTCCTGGCCCCCCCGGAGGCGTGCCGCGGAAGTGGACGCCGCCGTCCTGCCCGTCGTCGCCGAGCCGAACTTCCGCTTCCCGACCGCGGGCTTGCTGCAGCAGCTGGCGGCGGGGGGCGCCGGCGCGCCCGGGGAGTGCGCGGGGGCGGAGCTCGCGCGCCTCGTGGCGCGCGCCTGCGAGGGGCCCGTCGTGGAGGCGAGCTCGCAGGCCCCGGAGGCGGAGCTGGCGGCCCGCGCACAGGTCAGGAAAGAGATCCTCCTCCTCCTCCTCCTCCTCCTCCTCCTCCTCCCTCCTCCTCCCTCCTCCTTCCCCTCCCCCCCCTCCTCCTCCCTCCTCCTGTTCCTCCCTCCTCCTCCCCCTCCCCCTTCTCCTCCTCCCTCGAAGACTGGGCGCATGCACACACGGGGGCGTCGGTCTCCAGGACAAAAGGGGGGGAGGCTCCAGGCCTCCCAGGTGCGGTCTCAGCAGATCGGGTCGGGGGATCGTGCCGCATCGCCGATGCATCGGCGATGGATCGGCGATGCGGCTCGATGTGGGGTCCAGTTTTCTCCGCGCCGACGTCGCGGCTTCATCGCCGACGTCGCCCCTGCATGGCCGGTGCATCGTCGATGCATCGGCGATGCCATTCCGATGTATCGGCGATGCGGCGAGATCCTCCGACCCCATCTACTCGGACCCCATCCATGGGGGCCTCTAACACGGGAGCGTCGATCTCCAGGAGAATGGGGGAAGGCATGGGCGATGGAGGGGAGGACGGAAATCCAGAGCACACGTCCGCCACAAACAGATATGCAGAGACCCCCTCCAAATGGTTGGTTCCTGGGCCTCTGGGGAGGGTGGCGGTGTAGAAATCACCACTGGGAGCCAGCGGCTTTCTACACCGCCGCCCTCCCTGAAGGCACAAGCACACTTCGTCGCAGGGTGTCTGTGTATAGATTTTCGTGGCGTAGCGCGGGAACATGTGAGGCGTTCCAAGAAGGGCCTTGCCTGCGAGGATCGACGGACTGGTCATCTCTTCCGCGGCGGAAGGAGGCGGAAGGGTGGCGGAACGGCGGAAGGCGGCGGAAGGAAAATGTGTGTTGCCGCAGATGAAATCATTTTTGGGTTCAGGGGTTCTGAAAGCGCCCATACATTTTGGTGGCGTGACACGGGAACATGTGGGGGAGTTTCGGGATCTGGGTCCATTCGATCGTGCTTCCCTGGGCTTAAATCGGGGATGTCCCTCTACAGGAGGAATGTTCGAGAATGGTCAAGAACTAGTCAGGGGACGAAGTTTCGACTAGTTTTTGCCATTGCTGCGTATATTTGACTATTGCAGTTTGCTAGGGGAGCGAAGGATCACAGAAACGTGAAAACGCAGACCTCTCCCCAAATCCCCCATTTTCTTCCCAATCCCGCCTGTAGGAGGACAGGCCCGACCTAACCTTACGTCGGGCGTGTCCCCCTACAGGGGGATTTTCGACGAAAAATAGAACATACCCCCCCAAATCACCGAAGAATGGTACAACAATCGTCTGGGGACTATCTTTTGAGTACTTTTTGGCCTCTTTGGGGTATGTTTGGAGCATTTTTCATTTTGCGTCGACAATCCCCCTGTAGGAGGACAGGCCCGACCTAAAGCCCTGGGCCCCTCTCGCAGGCCGTGCTGGCGTGGCTCTCGCAGGCGCGCCCCGACGCCCGCGGCGACCGCCCCGGCGGTCCGCCCGGGCCGGGCGGCGACACCGAGGGCCCAGAGGACAGCCACTCGCCTCTCTCCTCCTCCTCCTC